GTTCAATATAAGCGTTATGTCTCTCATAGTAGAGTGTTTGAATCCGTTGATTTTCATTTCAGTTGGTGAGACTGCCGCTATTAATTTGTGAATGCTCTAATCCAGTGCTGATAGTGTATTTGCACTAGGTCCATTTTTTTACTTCCAATTTTCTTAAAAAAAACAAAGGCTATAATTTATTAAAATCATATGTAAAGAACTAACAATTAATATCAATACCATTAAAACAGAAAAATTATGTTTAATTATTTTTTTATGTTTTCCAATTATACATTTATTCTTATTCACAAATTTAATTTATCATTAGTGGCAATTTTGTCATTTTTATTTGGGTCTAAGAACTCTATAATAATGGATTTCATTCATGAGCTGATTTCTTTCAAAATTTTAAAAATATTTCTTGCAAAAATATATTTTCTATGCGGGTCAAACGGGTCAAATTTTTGAGTCGTGAAAATGACTCAATCCGCTGCAGAGCGGGTCGGACGAAGCGAGTTTGACCCGCTTCCCAACAGTAGGCGTAGTTAATTGATATTATTTTTTCCAAATAAAACTACACAATTATATACAATACTACATAGATATTGATGATACTAATAAATTAAAATCTGCATTAATTTTAAAAATTTATATTAGATAGTGAAATTTTGTAACTAAATAATTTTATGAATTAATCACAAAACTAAAAAATGGGTTATTTAATTGTTAAATAGACAATCTTTCTCAAGTACAAATTTGAGGTACAACCATTGTTAATATATTTAGAAACATAAAAAATGTGTCTGAGACATTGTAAAATAAAAAAATAATTTATACCCACATGATAACTTGATTTTGATTGTGTGACATTTTATATCATTAAAGTAAAAGACTTATCGATTCATTTATAGATAAAATAATAAAATAGTATCAGTGTTTTTTAAGCGCGGATCAAAAAATTAGTTTTAGTTTTAATATTTCATGAGTTTAAAAAAAAATCAGCATAGGGCCCAATTATTATCTGAGCCGGTCCTGGTTCTCCTGTATCCCATACTATGTATATGTCATTTGGATTTTGATTTTTTTTTTGTAAGTTTATGTCTTGGATTTTTATTTGTAAATTATTGATATAAAGTCATCTCTTCTCATATTATATCTAAAGATAATAAGGGGAGTTTCAAGTTTACATGAAAACATCAGTAAAGGGTCGTATAATGATCAGCTAAACATAACTTTATCTAATTTTTTGTATATATTATGTCGATCGTTTAGAACATTTGATTTTTTTTTTTTTAAATAACGTTGTAAATAGTGATTGGTATCAGTTTGTGTACTCTTCAAAATTTTCAACTAAATGAACTAATTTTGTAATGCGTGATCAAAGTGTCCGTCAAGAAAAAAAAACAAAAAGTTTCTTTAAATTTTTTCACGATTTCTTCATCCAACAGATACCAAAAATGGAATATATGAAAAAAAAAAAAAATGGAATATATGAATGCAGACGAGCTGGCATGCAGTGTTACGAGTCACCTACAACTATGAATTTTGTTGATCTAGTTCTACCATTGGAAATGGTTTATTTTCTCATTTTTATTCATTTTCTTTTATTTGTTGGAAAAAAAAAACTAATCCTTTTTTTCTTTCATTTTCCTTAGCATATAGTCATACACTAATCGATACTCACTCCGTTTCATATTAAATGTCGTTGTAGAGAATTTTTTTCGTTACAAAATAAGTGTCATTTTTTATTTTCAATGCAAAATTTATTAACTTTATTATGTAATTTATTTTTCTATTGGTTAAAATGTGGTTAGGTGTATGGGTAATTGTGTTTTTATATAAGAAATATGTAAAATTAATTATTTCCTTAATCTGTGTACACAATTCTAAAATGACACTTATAATGAAATATGTAAAATTAATTATTTCCTTAATCTGTGTACACAACTCTAAAATGACACTTATAATGCAACAGATGGAGTAATATTTCCAAGTGTATTCAGAAATGAAGGCTTTCTAATAGAAATTGACGGTCCAATTAGTAGATATACATGGCCAATGTACTTTATTGCATCACGTAATTACATTTTTTTAAATCAATACGCATTTTTTCTTTTTCTTTTTCTTTTTCTTAGGTAGGTTGCAGAGGGACATGAATCATTTATTTTTTATTCAAATAAAACTAACTACAAGTAAATTTGCCAAGTTATGGACACCTCCATAGAATCCTCCAACAAAACAGCAACAAGCACTAGAGTAAACTCAAAGTAATGTAAACCGAATGGTAAAGAAAACACATATCTAGTTAATCCATCTGCTAGATGATTAGCCTCCTTATATACGTGAGAAATTTTGACCAGTCTCTTGATATGAAGCCATAACACAAACATACTAAGAAGGACAGGGGATGAGCATCATGAATCCTTGTCTGAAGAAAATCCACGACACTTACCGAATCAACTTCCACCTCCAGCCGCCGAATACCACGATCCCATGCTATGCAAAGTCCATAGTAAACACCCCACAATTCCACCAAGGGACCGAGCAAATACCAATATTAATCGCAAAGCCCCCTTTTCCACATTCCGTACTCATCACACATAACTCCACGCGCAGTAACCAGTCCAGAATTGCCTCTAGCTGCTCCATCAATGTTTAATTTAAACCAACTATTCACGGGTCGACGCCATGCGATTTTTTTCTCCACCCGTGCCCCAACCAATGCATGATCCCTCAGATTTTTGTTCGCTACGATCACTTCTTGGGCCTTATCTCTAACAAACTGCACCATGTCCCGACATTTTCCTATTTTACCAAAAACACAACCACATCGCAATTTCCAACACCACCACACAGTAAGGGCAAAAAAAATTTCTCCATTTTTACACCATGGCACACACCATTCTCACTCAAAATTCTACGTTTACATTCCTTGTTTGTCATGATAGCCTGATGAGTCACCAACGATAAGAAGACTCTGACTCGTTCTAGGGCAACAACACACCACACCCGATTGTACAAAGCTTCCATATTCGGTCTTAGTACGACATCTCTAGTCAAGAAGGCATACACTGACTTAACAGAAAATCATCCATCTTTACTTGCTCCCCATATGTCTCGAGCACCAGTAACATCATCAACCACTACTGAAGACAATCTTAACCGATTATGTCTTGAAATATACGGCTCTATTACTTGAAGTAACCAACCGGTTCCATTCTGCCATAGGCCTCGTGCCCTTGCCTCTAGAATCTCCTCCGCACCAAACTTAATTCATGTAAGGGCTCATTCAACAACCAATTGTCTTTCCAAAGCCGGATCAGGCGACCATCACCTAGAATCCAACACGTTCCCGAAACAACAACCTCTCTGATCCCCAACACTAAGCTTCTCCAAGTCGGCGACCACACTCCCTGAACTATCAAGAATGACGGACCATATAGCTCCCCCACTCGAAACTTATTCCAAAGAATCTTGACCCATAAAGCATTATGTGTATTCAGCAATCTCCATCCAAGTTTTGCTAATAAAGCCATGTTCATCTCTTTTGCTAACCGTATACCGAGCTCATCTTCTCTCTTAGGTTTGCAAATTTTGTCCCAAAAAATCAAATGTTGCTTTCTGTTTACTTCACTATTCTCCCAAATGAAACCTCGAGTGATCTTGTCTAATCGATCCAGAGTTGATATCGACAGAGTTATACTACTCATCATATGAACCGGAATTTATGAAAGGACAGATTTGGTGAGTGTTATCCGTCCCGCCAAACTCAAGAATCCTCTTCAATCACTTCCCCAATCGTCTCTTTGTTTCTCCTCTTTTGTAAAACAAGCATACCCAAGTACTTTCCTAACTCCTTAGTTTCTTTGATGCCACTCTCATTATTTATTGAGTTTGTTAGATCCGATGGCATTTTCAAAGAAGAAAATTAAAGATTTCTCCAGATTAACTTTCTTCCCAGAAGCTCCACAAAACCTCTCTAAGACTTTGCGTATCACTCAAACTTGTGATATTGAGGCTTTTGCAAACAAGATCAGATCATCTGTGAAACAAACATGTGATAAAGAAGGTCCACCCCTAGTCAGTGTGATTGGTTTCCACTCCTTGTTAGCCACTGAGAATTCAATTTGATGGCACAGTCTCTCCATACATAACACAAAAATATACGGGGACAGAGGATCACCTTGTCGAAGTCCACGCTGAGCCGTAAACGCTTATATTCTTTTCTCATTTCACAATCATTCCAGGCTTTGTAACACTTTTCATAATCCATTTAGTCCACTTTCTCAAGGTTCAAGGAGCATCCAATCTTTTCGTCATTTCTTCCTCCTCATTGAGTGAATCACTTCCTGAACAATGACAATATTATCGGTACTAAATATATCAGGAATAAAACTGGTTGCAATGGGCCTATCAGCTTAGATATGAGTGTCTTCAATCTCAACACCATCACCTTTGTTATAATCTTGAAAAGAACATTACATAAACTAATTACATAAACTGATAGGATGGAGGAACTGCATAATCATTTCTGCTTTAAGAATCTTCCGGATAAGGACCTCCATTGCAAAAACTGATACGCACATTTTTCTTCTTGTGGTTGACTCTCGCATGTTTTGGGCCTATTGTCAAATTTTCCAACTTGAAAATTAGAATTTGGTGACAAGAAAAGTTATTACCTCAAATTTATATTTAGTGTTTGTATATTCAGTTTTTTATATTTTCTTTGGATTTTGAAACAATTAGAAAATGTAAATGATATTTGTGAAATAATATTTAATTTATGTATACCCAATTATAAATACACTTCGCTATTCAATGAAGAATAAAAGTAAACAATTGGTGAAATTAGTGTATGTTACTATATTGTTAGGTTGCAATTATGACGACGGGTCATAAATGCTGGTAGCCTAGGAAAATATGGTTGGAGTGAAAGTGAGAGAGATTCACATATCAAACTCCTTTTCTTCCACATATAATCGTTGTAGTTACTCAAATTATTGAACCTGTTCATCTGAAAGATTTTAGAGAAACATCAATGATTTTACTGATATAGAGTGTTTTAACCCAAAGTCTCATGTCGCTGCTACATATGTAAAGAAACACGCAGTAGGCCTAAACACACTTATCAAACAAGATTACTTTACAGAATTCAGGGGTAAAACTGTAATATAAACTCTCCCCCCATAAGAAAGTTTCTTTCCTCAGACAAGGGTCCCACCCTTGACAAACTCAGTAAACGCCAACGCGACCAAACCAAGCATCGCGAAACGTCCGTTCCAAAGCTCAGCGTTGGACGTCATGAAACCTTTGGACTTAGACTCAGCGGTGATACCCTTGAAAAGAGGTACAAGCGACGCAAGCGTCAAGATCACAGTCGTACCGAGGAACCACGAGACACCACCATCGGAGATCTGAGCGAAAACATTTTCACCCTTGGACAGTTCAACCGCCAAGGCAGCCACGAATCCAACCATCGCTAAACGCCCGTTTATCCTTTCTGGTGCTGGACCGCTAAACGCTAGCAAGTCGCTAAACTTGGTGCTCACCTATGTTTCACCAACCCGAAATTGTTAGTTATTGCTATTGTTATTTTCGTTCCATGTATGTAACGTTTTCCATAACCCTAATATTGTCCTATCTTATTTATATATTTTAAAAAAAAATTGTTTAACGCCTACTAGTGCTTAGTTTACGTATATGCATAACTTATTAATGTTCTTTCTCTTTCTGGTACTGCCTATTTAATGATACCTTAGGTTTAGTAGGAGGTGGAGGTGGTGGCGGCGATGCTGAACTAGACAAAGGCTGAGACGCCGAGGTCGAAGGTGCAGACTCATCCTTCTTGGGTTCTCCCTACAAAAAGTCAATCATTCAGACGGTCAGGATTTTATTTTAATATCAGAACAGTTGGATAAAGAAACCGGAGGAAATTATAAGTACCTCAGCCATGCACCTCACTCCCACCGGATAGTTCCTCTTGAGATTTGTGAAGTTACCGGCGACGGATAGCTTGTTTGTGTTGATCTTGCGAGTGGCCAAACCACCGGCGAAGACTGACTGCATGTTAAACGATGCTGTTGCCATTTCTAAAACGTTGGTGTTTGAATGAAATAGAGGAGAAAGTATGAAATAAAGGTTATCAAACTGTGAGGTGGATCTTAATTATAGAGTTGGTATGTTGTAATGAAGGATCAACGTATGTATTTATAGAACGGAGTGATGAGAAATGATAGGTCAAGCTGTTTCTTGAACTTTCTTTAGTTTTTTACATATCTAGCCTTTCACTTGATTATTAGTTATTGATGAAATTAAAATAAAAATCGTCAAAATATAACACATGAAAAATAGATCTCGACCGTTGCTTTCGCTTTGCTGCATTAATTGGACTTAATTACTTGAGTTTTAGTATCTAAGAGAAGGTTTTCGTATAGCCATACCCTCTGGAATAGTACTATTGATGCTATGTCTGAACGATTCATGTATGTCAGCATGCATGCCTTTTGTTAATAATAAATTAACGAGTAGTAATCGAACTTCGTTCAGAAGTTTACCTATACAAAATGTTTTATATTCAAACCTAGTATGTACAAGTCATCTACGTTCCATTTTCACAGAATCTGAAACATGCTAAACATTTGTGTACATTAAAAAAATGTGTTTATTAATTCATAACAAACTGATTAATTCATAACAAACTGAATAGGTATTTGGCCGCTCCAAAACGAAACACGTAGGCTACAAAAGTGAAAAGAGGAAGCTGCGATATTTAAAGAACCACGTTGCTTTAGATTGCCCCACTCATAATATGCAAAAAGAGTCAATGACGTGGCCTTCTTCTTCATCACAGCTTCTTCTGCCAAGTGGGTTTGGTAAAACACGTAAAAAAGATTCTCTTCATCTCTCCCAGAATTTATGTGGCTCACATCCAATTAAACTTTTAAACATAACGTTCGTTTCTAGAAGAGGTTTGCTCATTCAGTCATTCATTACACATCTCTTTTTGCTTTTGGAAGTTAGCTAAGTTGGGATCCATATAGGCCCCGTCCGAGCCCGTGATTTCTCTCTTGTCTCCTACTACGTGGCCCATCTTAGCTCCGCTATTTAATATACGGTCCTTATATTAACGTAAAGGGATAAAGAAGTAAAAAAAATTGTTATAAGGTCTTAGAACATGTTTAATGCATGTTGCTTAGAAAATTGCTTAAGAGGAGAGGAGTGTTTAATTTGAAGAAAGGATGTGTGGAAAGTGCTTAATTATTGAGATATTATAAATATACACTATACATTATTGAGAAACCTTTTTTCTTGAACTGAAAAAAAAAATAAAAAAAAAGAAACCTTAATAGTCTGATCTTAGTCTTCACCAATTAAACAAACTCAAGAGAAATCTACAGTGCTGTTGTAATTTTAGGTCTATAGATTTTTGATAAAGAAAAACTTCATATTGAAAAGTGCATCTACCATGCCGTAGATTAAGCTGACTCGTCCTGGTTCAATAAATTCTTTTGAGAAATTTTAAATCGACCGATCAGGATATTAAAAGAAAAGCTAAAAGTTGGATATAAAATCTGTTTTTTTTTTAATCTTAAATGAACTGTTTGACCAAAAAAAACTTAAATGAACTGTGAACAGTTTTACTTGTTTGCTTGTTAGCTGATGCAAAGCAACAAAACATAAAAGGCTAAAAAACATTGTTACCAGTCTGGTTGCAATGTTGAGTGGTATTATCATATTTGTTAACTCAAGCCCTTACCGAAGGTTATAATGGGCCGTAATGGCTCACTTGGCCCGTAACTATTCTCATCAACCAAAAATAATTGTTTTACCCTTACATATTTCATTGTTTACAGAATCTCCCCAAATTAACAAATAGTCAAAGTGTGATCTTTTTTGTCTTAGATAGTTGCCAGTCTAAGCATTACCAGTCGATTTGACCAAAAAAAAAAAAAAAGATAAGCATTACCAGTCTCACCATACCATAGATTCTTAGGAAAGCTTCATTTTTATATATTAACACAATGAAAGGAGATATGAAAAATAAGATTTTATTCCTAACAAAAATGTTTTTCTTAAAATTTATTTTACAGTTGTATTTATGATGCAAAAAAGAAAAAGAATCTAATGAATTTATCAGTTTTGACATACATACCATCAAATGTATTTGATTGTCAAAATTTTAATTTTGTTTTAACATACAACCTTAGTGGGGGTTATTGGTTCTAGGATTTTATAGATTTAGAAATCCTTTTTGGATTTTGAAATTTTTGACAAATCCACATATTTTAGAATCAAATACGTAGATTTCAGAATCAATGAAATAGATTTCAAAATCAATATAATTGAATTATTAGAAATCAACGAAATAGATTTGTGATAAACGCAGCTTTGTATCAAAAGAAAATATATATAAAACTACAACATATGGTTTATCATTTTCTATGTCTTATGTTATTATGATAACATAAATCTCTCACATACTTGTTATTATTGCCGTTCTCACTTGATTGGCATATTCTGTTTGTTGATTTTCAGTTCCAGTAACTTCCTCAAGATCTTCTTCTTCATCAAAACTTTTTTATTCAGAAAAGTTATCGATTCGTCAGAACTTTTTAAAAAGACTACACGTAAACTAATACACAAATATTCTCTCCGTTTGTGTCTTATAAGAAAAAGGGGATGCACATTAAAAATTAAAAATCGAAATTTGAATATATCAAAAATTCTTTACATTTCTCAGAAAAACATGATGATGGTAAACAACTCTTTGTCATTTATAGAGTAGAATCTCCAGAAAACATTTGTAGACCAAAACTCTTATGAGAGATCTTTGGTAAATTTTTATATTAACGTCTACGTGTACGTAAAACTAAGTTAGAGATGGTTGGTTAATATATTAGTATTTGCTTATTATTAGAGAAACATGGATAATATGTATGTAAAACTTGGGGCAAGAAAACAATTATTAAGAAAATCAATAATACACTATCAAAATAACAAGGTTCAACTCAGTATTTACTTCTTTATTTTTTAACTCACAAATCCACTCAAATCTATTTTAAAATCAAATCCTCAAGCAAATCATTATTATTGAATAATGCCTAATTTTAAAATCTATTTTAAAATCATAGAACCAATAACAATGAATTTGAATATAGATTTTAAAATCATAGAACCAATAATAATGAATTTGAATAGGGATTTTAAATTATAGAACCAATAACATTATATTTGATTTGTATTTTCAAATCCACTAAAATATACAAACCAATAACACCCTCTATAGATTTGAGTGGATCTATTCTATTAAAATAGAGTCATTCTTTTTATCTACTGATACAAGTTGTCATTTAAATTTGGACCATTTCTAGAGTATTACAAATAATACAAGTCATATAGTTAAGTTAACCGTATTAATTAAATTAAACCGGTGGTTATTTATGGAATATAGTTTTGGGCTTACTTTTGTTTTTAGAATAAATTATATGATTTGGTTTTTGAGCTTAATATTAAGGAAACACTCCAAAATACATTAAATAAACTTTCCACCTTAATGGATCAAAAAATCAATTATTTTTTCAGGCCCAAAAGGTATTTAAGATTTTTAACCAAAACAAAATTGTCTATTATTAATCATTTATTTAAATCATGTACTTAAAAAACATGATAATGTATTTTTATTTTAAATAATAATCCTTTTTTGATAAATTTCAATGTTAACTTTGAAATAATATATTGTTTTATTTTTCCTAAATAATTTACTGATTTAAAATAATATGTAAAGCAAAAATCAAAAACTAAATCTAAAAACTAAAATCCAAAACCAAAAGTTGAAAACGCAGGTTATATTTTTTGCTTTTGTTTATTTACAATTTAAAAAAAAAAATATTTTGTCATCTTTTCAGTTTTAAATTAGATGTTCGATTATTTGGGATTTGTTTGTTGGTAATATCAGTTCAATGTAACTCAGCGGATCTAAAAATTAAAAACTCAAACCAAAAGCTGAAAATCAAAAATAGAAACTTAAAAACTAAAATCCAAAAAATCAAAATCTTAAAGTTCGATTCTCGGCTTTCTATCGTCTACAAGTTCGATTCTCGGCTTTCAGCATCGCCCATATACCCATGACCAGGAATGTGCGCGCGGATTCTCTCGCCAAGGAGGTGAGATACAATTGTACTCTCTTTTTCCATATATATCAGATCCAGCCGGACGGAGCGTCTCTTCGGAACGACTCAGGCCCGACTACCACTTGATCTTAAACAATGGGCGTCAACAAAAAAAAATCAAAATCTAAAAATAAAATTTGAAACTAAAAACTAATGAAAAACAATCATCACCATAAATTTTGGTGAACTGATTTTATACCAAAACATTCTTTAAATTAAGACAAAAACCCAATTATATAAATTTTTAATCATAAAAAATTTCCGCGCTTTTAAGCGCGGGTTAAAATCTAGTTTATAATTATATTGAAGTGCCTATAGACCAGAAGCAACCCGTTGACCAGCTCCACAATCTCACACGTTTCGTCATAAACCGGTTTTTTGTCTTCCGGTTTACTCATCTAAATTGCAATTAAAATCATCCTCCTTGTCTTCATCGCCGGACAGAGTTAAAGATCTAACGAAAGGAAGAAGATGGAGAGCAGACAAGCGACGAGGAACACGAAGCTCAATGTCTTTGTATTGATTGGTCTGATACTATTGAATTCAATCCATCAAATCTCATCTCTCTCGGTTACGGTGGAGGAAGAAGAATGCGTCCAAGAGTACGTCCTCTACGAAGGAGACACCGTCTCGGGAAACTTCGTCGTCGTCGACCATGATGTCTTCTGGGGACCAGATCATCCCGGTATTGATTTCTCGGTAAGACACATCTTCTGATCTGATCTTTGATTGATTGGAGTTTATACGTTTCGTTGATTGATTTTGGGATGTGAAAATTGGTCCGTATAGGTGACGTCACCTGCTGGGAACATTGTACAGACAATGAAAGGGACATCAGGAGATAAGTTTGAGTTTAAGGCACCGAGGAGTGGGATGTACAAGTTTTGTTTCCACAATCCTTACTCTACTCCTGAGACTGTCTCCTTTTACATTCATGTTGGTCATATTCCCAATGAGCATGATTTAGCGAAAGACGGTTTGTTACATTCATCATTGTATTATCGTTGCTTCTTTGCATTTGAGTTGTTCTTTCTTCTTGATGCTGTGTTCTTCTGTTTTCTTTAGAGCATTTGGACCCGGTGAATGTGAAGATAGCTGAGCTGAGAGAGTCTTTGGAATCTGTTGTTGCTGAGCAGAAGTATTTGAAAGCACGTGATACCCGTCACCGTCATAGTGAGTTTTTTTACTCTCAGTTCATCTTTTATTTTTACATTTTGTGTGTTTAGTTATTTAGCCTCATTCCCGTGACATGAACAACTTTATTCAGATGCAGTATATAACAATATAATGAATAGAAGAAGAATATATGTTTCTAGAATGTTAACTTTGAATGCACTCTTAGGAGAACTTATTGATATCTTTGACCCCAAAAGATACAATCTTTAGACTCTAATGAATAGAAGAAGATACATATCTCTTGAATAGGGACTTTGAATACGTTCTTAGGAACCAAAAATTCAACCTTTATCTGTTTAATATTCCTTTTTGTGATGGATTTTGTTTTTTTTCTTTTGTAATGAACTTTGGGTGCAGCTAATGAGAGCACGAGGAAGCGAGTGATATTCTACACAGTAGGAGAGTACATTTTCCTAGCAGCAGCAAGTGGTCTTCAGGTTCTCTACATCCGCAAGCTCTTCAGCAAGTCTGTTGCATACAACAGAGTTTGAACCTGATAGCTGAAACCTCAACGAGGTTTTGTTTCCTTTTTTCATGTTTGAGTTGGTAAACACACAATCATAAAAAAAGAAAGTATTAGTTAATTTCGTATGACCTTAACAGCAAAAGACCCGTTTTTCGTTTTTTTCATTGGCTTCAGTTTATTTATGTTTTAACACGGAGAACTTGATAAGCTTATATCTTGATTCATTGATCACACCTTCTTTCTCGACTATGATATGATCATCATTCACATCTGTTTTTAGCCTTAACCCCCAAAACAGAAGAATGCTATTTAAATTTTATCCGTTTGAGTCAAGATAAGTTCTTAAAGAGGAAGTAGTGTTGACGATCATCAGATGATAATATGTAATCAATGTACTTATATGTTTTTACACACGTATCTTGGAGGTAAAAGACCGAATATTTCTATATTCCATTTCTAGAAATAGAAGCCCCCTATTTATTTGCCATTTATTAGTAAGACAAATGCCCATTCATCGATCGTAAAGTCAGTTTGTCTCCCGTTACTGTTGTGTCATCGACAAGAAAGAAAGAAACATGTTGGCCATTTTCGACAAAAACGTGGCGAAAGCTTCCGAAGCTTTACAGAGTCAGGAAGGTTGTTTGGTTTGTGCTCTTAAAGATGGGCTCTTGCCTAACCACTTTGCCTCCGTCTATCCTGGTGCCGTCACCATTAATCTTGCATCTTCTGGTCTCATCGCTTGCTCCCTCGACAAGCAGAACCCTCTTCTTCCCAGGTTCTTGCTTTTACTTTTTTACAAACATTAAGCAGTTTCGTTTGCCTTGTTTCTTAGAAAACATTCATTAGCTTTTAGTAAATTAGTTATGCTAAACATGAAATGTTTTTCTGTCTATTTGAGTTTGCCATGTTTAACAACGTCTGCAATACATTGTTATCTGATTGGTCCTTCTATGAATCACAGCCTTCGTTGGGGATAGTTTTGATTTTTCGAAATGGCTGTGATGTTTGCTGTGAACGATGATATGTTCTGCATCTTCCAAGGACGTATAGAAAACCTTCCATTGCTAAAGCAACAATATGGACTAACAAAAACAGCAACCGAGGTCACATCTGTGATCGAAGCTTACAGAACCCTCGGAGACCAAGTTGTGAGAGATTTTCAAGGGAGATTCGCGTTTATGCTATTTGACTGCACGGAATGTCTTCCTCGCTGGGGTTAGTTTCATTTTAGCTTCTTTTGCTCTGCATATTGCAAGTACTGAGGTATAAATATTATTGGGCGTTTTATTTGCTGGATACAGATGGTTGGGGAACTGACGCTGAAGGCCATCTGGTTCTTTCTGATGATGTTGAAACTGTGAAGAAAGGTTGTGGTAAATCCTTTGCGCCATTCCCTAAAGGTAATGCTCGGGTTTTCAAAGATATACACGTATATCTCATTCTTTCGTGGAATTAAGTGAAGATATGGTTGTGTATATTGCACAACGCAGGATGTTTCTTTACCTCATCCTGGAGGATTGAGGAGCTATGAGTATCCATTAAACGAGTTGAAGCCGGTACCGAGGGTGGACAGATCAGGTGTGCGGTGTGACTTTCAATGTGGGTTCTGAAGCCAAGAAAGAGGGAGCAATGCCTGAGTTGGGAGCGTCCAGAATTGGTCTCAACAAATCTGAGTTGTTTTCACTGAAAAGGCTCTTTGTTGGATGCTGTGTGTTCCACACATATGAGATTGCATCGTTCGACTCCTTTTTCATGATTTTCTCTCACTGGAGCCATTCTAAGGCCTCTTTTGGCTCTCTATTATTGCTTTGCAGCATGTATTTGGTAAATAAGAATCTAATAATAAACTTTTGCTTCAGTTCATACATATGACAATAATATAAAACTTCCCAAGTAATTTTATGTGGATAAAAGCATAATAGAAGCCAGAAGGCAAAACAGACATAATACGTGTAACAAGACATCAAGAGCTCCTTCGCGCTGATTCTACTAGTCCTTCGCATCTGCAACGCCTCCTGGTGTAATCTGGAAAATGTGATTCTTTTGTTAAGGAAACAAAAAGAGTCATATATTGTGGATGAATACTCGCACAATCAAGTGAACTTTTAAATGTTATTTGTTTGTTAAAAGGATATAGCTTCGCCTTCGGGGAGATTTGGGGCGTCAAAGACTTTGCAGACACGTTGCTCTCCTTTGCCTTTCCTGAAACTGAGCCTGATGGTCACCGCGTGAGCAAGCACATGCCCACCAGCTGGCTTCTTTGGGTCTGATATGAACATTCCACCGCCTGGATCCGATATCACTGCAATGACCAGATGCAAAATAGATGATTCCCTTATCAGGTTAGTGCAACCAATAAAAGAATCGCTTCCCGTCTAGTGTTAAAGCAAACCTTGGTTGGTCATGTACACAGCAACATTGAACTCCTCTGCGATTTTGATTATCCTTGAGAGCATCTGAGCTAGTTTTTGCTGCAACACAGAAGCCGTCCTTTCTTAGCAAAGCTAATCTTTTTAATGTTTATGTTAGTAATGTGTGGAAGGCGAAGGTAACCTGGCGGTCTGCAAGCTCTCCTCTTCCAGTGAAATCAACTCGGAATAAAGCAATGATCGAGTCAACAATCTGGAAACAAGAGTAAGCTCAGCTAGATCAGCTCATATTCGTGTTGATTTTCATCGACTGGAACTAACAATGAAATAAGCAGATATGCTTTTGCTTGCGTACCAGAATCTTAAATGGTTCCTCGGACATTTTTGCAGCAAGGCCAAGAAGCAAGTTGAACTGATGCTCATAGGTGTAAGCACGAGCATAAATGATCTGTAACATCAAAGAATTGTGAATGTTTCAGTCATGAGAGGTAAGATCCAAGCTTAATAAAAACGCTTACATTGTCAAGCACAGCTCCTGGGTCCATTCCGAATCTTTCAGCAATTTGAACAATACGATCAGGGCGGCTAAAAGTTTCAGGGTTTAGGAAAAAAATCATAGATATATAAACCATCTAATGAAGCTAGTAGGTATAGACCAAAGATTTGCTCTAATATATTAAGGATACAAGGTTCCCTCAGTGTCAATGTAAGCCACTTTTCCATTCCCACCTTTCATGCTTGTAGGCAGCTGCATAACATAAATACAAGAAATGAGTACCAGTGGCACTGAGAGACAAAGATCTCGAAAGTAAGAATCTCATATCATGCCTTTGACAGTAACAACTAACAACTAATGCATAGTGAGACACTAGGAAAGAAATCAACCTGCGTGGTGACACAAAGGGTATGTGCTAATTGCGTTTTCCCAGACCTGAAGTGAAATTAAACACTGTTATGATACAAGCTATTGACAGGAAACTTAAGAGAGCTGGACTGGGTTACGCTTCTCACCTGAACTCCCCAAACGCCTCTGTGATGGCTGCAGTCTCGATTCCACCTACCACAGCATTGTTGAAAGATGAAACCAGAACGTTCAAGTAGTGTGAAAAAGATTGCTAAACAGTAAAGTAAAGCTTAGTTACCTCCCAAGAGATCATCAAGAGCTTGGCATCCTGTAGTGATACGAACAACTGATTTTCTCTATAGAACAGTAAAACAACATTTCAGTATCGAAATGCTGAATAAGCCATCAAACATCTTAAGAAACAGGACTTATTTGCAAAACAAACATCTAAACCTTAGTAAAGTCAATGAGACTAACCTTGAGAAGAGCATCACTTCCAGTCATATATCCAAAATTCTGAGGAAGAAATTTTATCACGGTTAGAATGAAGAAACACACTGAACGTAGCAACAAGAATTACAAATTTCGTTTTAGCTAACCACTATCTTCTCGGCTGCTTCACAGATTTTGTCAACTTTGGCCTCTGATAATCCTTTGATTCCAGTGAGGTTCTACATCAAATCAAAAGATTCAAAACAAAGCAGAATGTTCCAATCAAAGATTCCTCCAATCAAAAACCAATGATTCATCTAATGAAGGACGCTACAGTGTGCTACACAAGCTTAATATATACCTTTTTGGTATGCATCATGAGACCATTACAGGTGTGGATCCCAGCATCTTGTAGCTTTTTCACATCTCCTGCGTTTATACCCTGAGCGATCACTGGCACAAGGAAACAGAAGTTCACCAAAATCAAATCAGATATAGCTTTATGCAAGGTTTAGAACTCGATCTGTACCAAATACGGTATGAAAACCAGTGTAGATTTATACTTGACCATAAGCTATACGCTAAAATGTAAAATCTATGCTCTGGCGAAGTCGATAACTATCCTAGATCATGCTTAAGAACTAAATCAAGTAGAGATTCGAGAGTACATTGCGAAATTAGAGTACCGATTGTAGATCTGATCAACAAGACTAAGAAACTCAGCTGGAACGAAATCTAGATACTAAAAACGTTGAGATACTCAATCCCAAACATCAACATGAAGATTCTAACGAAGCGAGAAGAGATCGAAGATCATAAGAACAGTATAACTACACGAGCGAAATCTGAAAAGCGGAAAATCGATTTCGATCTTACGTTTGTCAATCGCTTCAAACATATCATCGTCTTCGTCGATTTCTTCTCGTTCAACAAGCTGCATGCTCGCTTCTTCCGACCTATTATCCGCAAATCGGAGAAAAAAAAAATCAAACGAGATGCGATTCAATATATCAGATACACGAAGAAATCAAAACGAAGAAGATTTAATCTCAGAATATAGTAGAGAGAGAGAGAAAGGGAGAGAGATCACTTACTTGAGAGCAGAAAGCATTTTCGATCAACGCTTGAAACGAGAGAATGAGAGAGAGATATTTCGAAATTTGAGAGGATTAGCGTGGAGGATCGTAGGGTTTTATATGGCGGGAGTCGGAACTGAACTGCACGCAAAATTCCGTTGAAAATTTTGAAACTTTTTGAAATCCGGATTCTGTTTTTGTTTTCAGTCACTATTTTCTTAAGGTGGACGGGTAAGATGATGCCACGTGGCTAACAACTTTTATAGACGGCCAGAGAGTAAAACTTGTTTGAAAAAATATCTACCACTTTCGCAAGCGCACGTTATACATCTATTGACTGCTGCTACTATTGTAAACAAATTGTTGAAATGTTTGAGTGTCAAACCCAAATCGATTTCCTTTGATAACTGGACATTCTTTAAGCGAATCCATTCCCAGGCCTGATCCAACAAATACAATTTTCGTAGCTTTTTTTTATTGGCCTCTTTTATGACCCAAGTAAAAATGTTTTACTTTTCTGCCTTTTCTCTTGGTAAATATTTTTGGACTAGTCATATCACAGTTTGTCAAAATCAAAATTAGCTAGAAGTAGAACTTTCTTTTTTTTTCTATATCATATACTCTTGGTAAACCTTTTTCCAGTCATATCATAGTTCTACTTTTTAGTCATAACGTAGTTCTACTTCTAGCTAATTTTGACAAACTTGAGATTCATTTTTTTTTTTTGAAACAAACTTGAGATTCATATATTCCAGAACCGAAGTGAAAAAAAAAAACAAAGTGAAAGTGTAAAAAAAACAAAGTAAAAACCGAACATTTACAGTTTCACTTTGTTTTTTTTTTCACTTCGGTTCTGGAATATATGAATCTCAAGTTATAACTATGATTATATATTTTGTACTTTGGAGGAAAAATATTATTGACCTATTAAATAACATTGCTTTTGTTTTGCCAAATAAATAATATAGTATGTTAACTAAATTTGATCTATATATGTATGCATATTAGTATTACTAATGATCATATTTATATTTCCTAAGTTTTGTGCTTATATTAAAAACGAATTAGGTATAGAAGCTCTACGTTGTAAAGGTACATGTGGAATGTCGTTGGCTTGATACACAGACAGAATAGGGTCGATCGAAAGAGCACATGGATACTATCATACTCAACGAATCTCTCATATCAGAAGAAGTGGATTACAAAAGAACAACTTTATATTATTTATATTTATAAAATAATACTTTCTTATATGATATATTTATGTACAGTATATTTTCCTCTCTCGTAGTCGTATGACATGCAATTCATTTATATACCTCCATCGCCTTTGCTATAACTTCCAAAGCAAAATTTTCTGATGAACTCTGCCGTCTGATTAGAGAGTATAAAATTTGCCTATATATGCACACACATGAAGATTTGACATGGACTAATAAACCAATACGGCAATACGTGAAATATCAAAGCATGAGAACTAGGTCTGGGCAAAAAAAAAAACGGAACCGAAAAATCAAACCAAAATATCCAAAACTCAAAACTGGAACCGAACCGAAATCTTCAAATATCCGAATGATTCTTATATTTATATCCAAAATAACCAAACCGAACGGGTATCCAAATATATAATATATTAGTTTTATATACATATAATATAACAAAATATGTTATTTTAATTTAAAAATCTATTAAAAGTATCCAAAAATAGTTGAAGATAACTAAATAATTATAAAATATCTGAACTATCAAAAGTATACGGATCATTTTATCTGAATATCCAAAGTAAACCGAAATATCCAAAATTTGTATCTAAATTATTCTAATTATTTGATATTTTAATAGCCTATAATTTATCTGAACTACCCGAACCAGAACCAAATAAGAATCGA